AAAGCCCACCTGTCTTTGTATTATGGGTCATTAGCCCTGCCTACTGAAAAAGTCACTGAATGAATACAAACCAGATGACTGGACATTCAGGCAAGATAGCCTGCTAAGTTGGTCCCGGCCCTGAGGGAAAAGAGACGCTAAGACAGGCATTTCAAGGGGTCCAGCTGCAGATGCTGGGCACAGTGATGGGATGGGCACCTTCTCATGCATGAGGCAGATTCCCTAGAACCCTGTGTTCCTGTCTCCCTTGGTTCCCAGAGGCAAGACCAGCCTCAGCCCTTATCTTTCCCTACTGCAACTGTGCTCAGCATCTGTCTCTCCCAACTTCAGATACAAGGCTGGCTGTGGTCAGCCCTTTCTGGCCAGTACTGATTGGCCAGCTGAGACACATTCTTTCTGGGATAAGAGAGAAAACTGCCACAGACTCCTCGACTCCGGAAGAGAAATCAGCCAGAGTCCCACACCCAACAAGCAAGCTAGGAGCCAGTGACTGGCACCAGCATAGTAGCCACTGCACAGCTGACAAGGTGCTAGCCGCATAACTTGCTTCTTCTAAAGAGGGACAAGAGGTCCTCAGCTCTGCAGCCAAGACCTAAGGGATCTCAGCCTCCAGGATTATGCAGGTCAGGAAGGTGAAGTTCACAAGGACCACTGAGAGTCTTGGAAATATGTGTCAGTGCATCCTGACCCTCAGTTCCAAGGATCCCATTGCTACCTCAAAGCTGGGGGAAAGTGTGTGGCAATCAATTAGCAATGTCTGCCACGGAGTCAGAATAGAAAATGGAGACCCATGTGATACATGCTTACTGTCCTGAGTGGCAAAGCATAGGGATTTTAGACTAGCAATAAAAGCAGCTCAGCTAAACAAAGTAGCAAAGGCTGAGTGGAAACAACTGAGTTCCAGGCTGGCTTGGGCCTCTAGTGAGACCTTGTTTCAAAATAATAATATCCGGTAACACTTGTTAATCACATCAACTCTGCTAGCACTTTCATTTTTTGTACTTCCATGGAATTCAATAGATGTCATGCTTCCTCCAAGAGGGGCTTTTAATATTTATGTCTTTTGATGTGCATCCTAGGCTCCTAAAATACTACCTAGCCATGAGCAAACACTCGGATGTTTGCTAAGGAGCAGGGGGATTTCAATTTTTCAGATGAGGAAACTTAGAGTCTGAGTAGGAAGTAGCTTGCTTCAAGTTAGGCAGCTGCTATGAGCTACTTTAGGACAAGATGCCATATAGAACTTTCTGGAAAGCTGGAAGTGTTATGTAATCTACACTGTCCCGTAGGGCAGCTACTAGCCACATGTGGCTACTGAAGGTTTAAAATGTGGCTAGTGTGTGGAAATCTGAATTTATAATTTTATGTAAATCTTAACTAATTAAAGTTGACATTAGAAATAGCCACCCTTGGCCGATTGCAGCTGCTCTGAATAACACAGCCCAGAGCTTAAGGGTTTGATCCCCAGAGACTAATGTCAGATTCCAGGATGTAAAGTGCACACAAGGTCACTGTGGTGCTGTAGGAATACCCTGCCTTTGGGGGAGGAGAGGGGCTGCCAGTGAAGGAAGGAACCTTCCAGGAAGTGCTTCTGGGAGGGCTTTTATCCAGGTTGTGAATGGTGTGATGGTTTCAGAGGGCTACTGGTGACACTCCAACCCTGAAGCCCTGAGTCCTCAAATCTTATCTTTCTATTGCTTAACAGAAAGAGAAACACAGCATAGGGTGCCATGCCCCATGGGTGAGTCAGGCTGTGGGCACTACCAGTGAGTGTTGGTGGACCTCAGCGGTAATGTGCTAGAGCTGGGGATGTGTGTTCTGCACATAGTGGCTTCTCATTCCTGCTCCAGTCCTCTATCCAGGCTGGCAGGTGTCTTCCTACCTCTCCTATCAGGTGATGAGAGCGTGTCCACTCTAGGCCATGTTAATTTATTCCGGGATCAGGGCTTAAACTGAAGAGTGCTTGTGTGGTGGGTTGAGAGTCTTGTACCAGCAGCTAAAGTTAATAGTTATGTCACAGACACTTTGAAAAAAACAAAACAAAACAAAACGTGGACTTTGACACCTCTAGGAGGGAGGGGCAGAGTGGAGGAGGAGAAACTGAGGCACAACACAGTGAAGTAGCTGGTATAGCCCACACATCAGGGGCACAGCCATGCCAGGACTCATCCCAGGTAGAACTGGGGTGTGTGTGTGTGGCTATGTTGAGGAGGAGGGAGTAATAAACAGCCCAGAGGGAGAGGTCTTTTTTCTTAGAGATGAAAGGATCCCTCATCACCCCCACTGTTGCTTCTCCTCCTGCCTGGGGCCTGTCTCCCTTCAGCCCTGGAAGGGCCTGCAAACACCATGCAGGCTCCTATCATATGAATGGAAACACAGCACCTCATTATCATATAGGGGAGGGGAGGGGAGAGCTCGCAGGGAGCTGTATCAGAGGCAAATGTGTCAAATGTGGTTGGGGGCGTCTGTGTCTAAAGACACTCTCCAGATGAAGTCAGGCAGAGAGCAAGAGGCCCTTCTGGGAAACAGGGAGTCTTACCTTCAACACAAGGCAAACTACAACCTCAGCCAGCAGGGTACCCCCAACACCCGACCCAGGACTGGCCTATGTGCCCACTGTGGCCCTATCCACGGGCAAGCCTACCCTCCAAATGCATCCTGTGCTTCCTAGCTCAACAGTTCCAAACTTGCAGAATGTACCAGCCAAGGCTTCCCAGCAGATGTAATCCAGATTGGCCAGCAAGTCTGCCCTTTTGTGCAGAGCATCAACTATCTAGATTATCCAGCCCTCGGGAGGAAGGACAGGGCAGAGACAAACCTTTGGCAAGCAGAACCTAGTGCTTAAAGAACTGGTCCCACCTCCCGGAGCCCGGCCTATTTCAACTATCCATTGGTGCTCTGCATTTTCTTCTATTCTATCCTTCCTTTCTTTTTCTTTTTTTTAAAAAAAATTTTTAAATGTTTTTATGAGCTGGGTGTGGTGCCACATGCCTGTCATCTCAGCACTTGGGGGCAGAGGCAGGCGGATCTCTGTGAGTTCGAGACCAGCCTGGTCTACAGAGTAAGTCCAGGACTGCCAAGGTTATATAAAGGGTTTCTTTGAAACCCTGTCTCAAAGAAAACAAAAACAAAACAAAAAAAAGTTTCTATGCTGTTCTGGAGACAGAACCCAGGCCTTCCTACATGTTAGAAATGTACTCTACCACTGAGATAGTCTCCAGTGGTAACACATACCAGCCCTAACATCTATTTCTGATCAAAAGGATTAGGCACAGAGAAAACACAGACCTCATTAGAGTAGGCCTCTTTGGTGGTGGTCCAAACTGTTTTCTGTGGCCAGCTGTGTGGGCCTGTCGCCCCCAGGGTTACGCGGGGCCCCACAGAAAGGCCCAAGGCTGAGGTTTAACATTCAAAGACTGTTGTCGTGGACCTTGGACTCACTTGCATTTGTTCTGTGTAACAAAGCATGATGGGATTGTGGAGAATATAATGGGAACCCTGGGCCACAAAAGTCCCTCATTACTACTTATTAATCGGTTACCCAATGGGGACCTATGGGTGCTGCTTACCAAATTACTCAGTGTGGCTCAGGGTGGCCTGTGACAGTCGGTAGCATTCCTGAGACTCCCTATGTCCCAGAGAATGCAAAGTGAAGTGGTAAATTTATTTATTTTTTTGTTTTTTTAAGACAGGGTTTCTCTGTGTAGAGCAGGCTGGTCTAGAACTCACAGAGATACACCTGCCTGCCCCCCCCCCCCCGAGTGCTAGGAGTAAAGGCAGGCCCACAGCTGTTCCCTTTTGGTAGTTGATGGTTCCCCCTTCCCTGCTCTTCTCTGTTTTCTGAGCTCTCCATAAGGAGGAGGTGTCAGTATGAGGCACTGGTAGCAGAGGCCTGAGCTGGAGGATGACTGCCTGGCATTCGAGCTCCGCTTCTGAGGAGCGGGTGATCTTGGGGATTTTCCTTCTCCAGGCCTCACCTTCCGCATCTGTAAACAGGAAAGGAAGGATGCCTTCCTCCCAGGGTCAAGACCTAATGATTTCCTGTGCATGCAGAGCTTAGGGCAATGTCTACCCTTGAACTCTCCATCTTCCTGCTTCAGGCTCCAAAGGGCTGGGGTGACAGCTGTGTGCCACCAAATGCAGCTGGGAGTGTCCTTTTGTGTCTAGCTTCTTTCATTCATGTAGAGGAATCTCTTCAAAGTTCTAGACTACAACATGAGTGAAGTTTGATAATTGATAGATGAATTAGTGGTAAACTAAGATTAACAAATGTTTACTGAAAGCCTAGGTACCGGCCATGGGAGCCCAGCAAGGATTATAATTACTGGAGGGCTTCAAGTGGAAAAGAAACAGAAAGAAACGCAGGGAGGAAGGGGAAAAAATACGTAAAATACGAGAGCCAACTAACGGCAAAGTTGAGGCGCGTGGTGATTGCGGCCCTGGGTTTAATCTCCAGCACTAAAAAGGAAAAAAGAAAAGGAAGAAAAAGAGGGGGAGGAGGTAATAAAGATTGTGATAAACGGTAGGGGGAAGCAGAAAGCAGAACACGGCGTGCAGCAGGTGTGGTTACTATAAAAATGGCCAGCAAAGCCTTCTTTACCGAGTGGGCGAGCGGACGCTGCCTCTGAGGGAGGATGAGGACGGTACAGCCACCCCGGAGCCCCCTGACCCACCCTAAGGTCTGTCCCATGGAGCCACCTCGTATCTGGCTCCTGGAACATGGGCACCAGCAAGCTTCTGCAGTGCATACCTCGCCTGCCCTGGGACAGCTAGTGCCCTGCCAGCCGAGACCCTAGTGACGGGCTCAGCGGCTTCCCATCCATAGAGCCCGCCCCTAAGCCGGCGCCCCTCCCTCCTGCCTCCTCAAGCCCCGCCCCCAAGACTGCGCTCCGCCTTCGCAGGCCCGCTGCTCGGGCGACGCTCCGCCCCTTACCCTGCAGACCCCGCCTCTTGTCCCGCCTGCAGACCCCGCCCCCCCGCCGCCATTGACCGTGCAGGCTCGTACTTCCTCGCCGAGGGATGGCTGCGCTCCGGGCGCGCCCCGTAGTCCCGCAGTGTGCGATGCTCTGGTAGCGGCTTGCAGGCGGGCGCGATCCAGGCCCGCGGGTGCACAGGTGCGGCCCACGCCTCCCTCAGCGCCTCAGCACCTGCCGGGCGGGACCCCGGACGGTGAGTGCAGCCCCGGCTGCGTGCTTGCTCCCGGGGACCCCGGGTGGGGCTCTGCACCTCCAACTCACCTGCTTGCACGTAGCCCAGGACGCAGCTGGGTGCCACAGACACAGTCCGGGAGACTGAGACGAGCCCGGCACTGAAGAACCCTCTTTAGATCCCTTGGCCTAGAAAAGAAAGCTTCCAGACTGAGGAACCAGAGACCTGGCTGGCCTAAGTAGATGGGCAGAGGTTACGTGTGTTTTCCTCTGTGACCTTGGGCGGGCCCCTCAGCCACCTGCCCCACCACGGTGTGGTTTTCTCACGGTGGGGACTATGGTGCCCAGGCTCACCCGGCCAAGGTGAACCGAGGGGATCAGGGGTGTGCCCTAAGTAGACGCTGCTGGACTGCTTCCGTTCTCTCCGGGCTTCCAGCAGCTCGGGGACAGTCAAGTCACAAAGTTACTAGTTCTCTCCGAAAGATCCAGTTGTCTCTTCTTGAACCCAGGGTCGAACAGAATGGAATGTCCCCAGATTTCTTCCTCCATGGGAACACTGGAGCCCCCCGGCTCTGCCCATTTATCTAAGAACAGTGCTCTTGTCACACTGTTCTGCTTTAGCGAAGACTCTTTGTTCAACAGGTAACAAAATGATCCTTCCTGTGGACTCAGCAGAACGGGGTGAGGGGCGGATTTCTTCTTTAATCCCAGTCCCAGTATATGTGATGTGCCTGTGTTGGTTTTGTAAGGAAAATGAGGTAAAGAAGTGAGCCGGGAAAAGACAGACTCACCTCTTCAGGCTGTCAACTAGACCAGCAAGCACTTTTCAACCTTCTGGATAGGATGGATAGGGGTTGGGTTCTCTTGGGGGCTTGGCTTATTTCAGGGAGTTGAGGGTAGGGAAGCTGAAGGGGTTGGCTCTGGGCTGTTTGCAGTGGTCCCTGAGTCACACACACCCTTATTGCTCCCCACCCCCACCCCCGGCATATAGGGGCGGGGAGTTTCTGAGCAATTTTTTTTTTCTGAGTCAAAACTAAGTTTAGCCCAACAGGTTTAGGCCTTCCTGGGTGTCCCCTGGCAGTGACCTCTTAGTCTTCCAAGTCCCCCAAAGCCTGGCTCCCAGGTATTCACAAGTTGCTTGGCATTTTAATGCAAGTAGAAACATGTCGCATCCGTAGATTTCATCAGAAAGTCAGCACGGCAGGTTTGCTCATGTTTGTGTCAAAGCACAGGGCTCAGGGGCTGTTTCTCACTGTGGGTCCTTCCCTCCTATGACCAGGCAGTACGACTTTGGAGTCCAGAGAAATGAAGAGGCCTCTTGGGTCTTCATGGCAGCCCTGCCACATACATACCCCGGACTGGGGGGATGCTCCATGCATTATTTCATGCCTCTATTGTTACCTTTTGCTCTTTGCATCAAGGACAGTATAGGGGTTATGTGTGAGAAAATGAATGAGGACCCATAGAAGCCCTGAGGACAGGGCCCAGATCAGAGTTTGCACCCATCAGTCACAACCGTCTCTCACCTTCCACTTCCTCTTGAGAATCTGAAATTGTGACATTGGTCAAGTCTGGGCTTTGTTTCCTGTGCTAAGGTGAAGGGCCCAGGTTTGGTGGTCAGGCATTAACTAGCATTATGGCAATTTTAAATATTTTCATCTGTAAAGTGGGACAGTTGACATTGGCCTGGTTGGTGTGTTGCAGAAGTTAAATGAGATGGCAAGTGGAAATCCCTTAGTTTGGATTCACACTGTAGCCCAGGCTCCAGAATGATGACTGTCAGAAAACTCTGCCATAGCCAAAAGCTAGAGTTTAGATTAAACATCAAAAGATGGGTGTTTGGCCATTGAGGTGGCTCATTGGATAAAGGTGTTTGCCACCAAGCCTGACAGCCTGAGTTCAATCCCTGGGCCCCAAATGATGGAAAAAGAACTAGCTCTCCCAGGCCTTCGTAAAGTAAATAAATTAAATTTAAAGGGGAAAAAAAAAAAAAAAAAACATGAGCAAGGGACACAAACTAAACACGATGTGCCAGACTTTAGACGATAAAGGGACATGAATTAAGTAAAGAAGGTTGCCCCCATGCCGCCAGCCAAGGCCATAAAATGGGCTCAGAATTCCAGGAACTCTGATACCCATACAGATACCTAAGGTCCTGAAAAAAGCAACATGCCTTTCTCCTGCCCCACAGTTCCCAAGAAAACAACTTATTTTAAGTGTTGGTGTTTGCACACTTTAATCCCAGCACTCGGGAGACACAGGCAAGTGGATCTCTGTGAGTTCCAGGACAGCCAGGGCTACACAGAGAAACCCTGTCTCAAGAAAAGCAAACCAAAACAACAACTACAAGTAAAACCCAACGTATTTTTAGAAAGCAACTCATTCCCTTGCACTCCTAGACTGTACTGTGCTCTCCTGTGCACCAGGTCTTGAGAACCTGTCAGATGAATAACATCTGCTCTGTGGCTGAGGTCTCTCTGTTTCCGTTCTCTCAATTCCCTTTTCGAACTCAGTTCTTACACTAAGCAGCTATGACAACCTGACTTTCCACACACAGTATTTTATTGTCTCTCTCTCCTCCACAGGACAGTTTCTTCACTTGCTGACAATGGTGTCTGCCAGTAGGGCCTGCAGCTGACAACCAACCTGGAGTTAATGCTGCACACTCAGAAATGCTATTTTATTCTCATTGTAGGTCTGAAATCACTCACAATGGAGGCAGGCAAGCAGATGCGAGTGTCTCGGCCGTACAAAATCAGTGAGTCTTCAAAGGTACGTGGCGGTCCCTCCCCACCCATGGCATCCATTCCGATCGCCTCCTTTTGGCTGGTGCCTTCTTAACTGTGGCCACGTGTGGGTTTGCAGAAGAGCTCCTGGATATAGTTCCCTCCAGTCTATATTTTACCGTGAGGGGTGAGACAAAAGAACCATGGCACTTCCGCCTCCATGTGAGGGCTTACCAAGTCCAGTGGAGCCTCACGGAGAAACCAGCCTCTGGTAGGACTCGTCTTTCTGGTGTTAAAGACCCTGGCACCTCTTCCTCGTTTGTGTCTGACTCCCTGGAACCCCAAGAGTGGACAAGTATGGACCCCCTGGGTTCTGGCTAGCAGCCCACATTAGGCTGATATCATTAAAGTCACCCTCAACAAGCCAGGAGAGAGCCCGGGGAGAATGGCCTTTGCCTAGCTGGCATGGTGCACATCTGTAATCTTAGCACTTGGAGGCTGCAGCAAGAAGAAAACCATGAGTTTAAGGCCATATATCCAGGCTATATAATGAGTACCAGGCTAGCTGGCCAGCTAGCAGAACGTTTACTTTTTTTGTTTTGTTTTGCTTTTGTTTTTGTTTTTCAAGAAAGTGTTTCTCCATGTAGTCCTGGCTGTCCTGGAACTCTCTCTCTTATAGACCAGGCTGGCCTCGAACTTGCAGAGATCCTCCTGCCGCTGCCTCTGCCTCCTGAGTGCTGGGATTAAGGGTGTGTGCCACCACCACCACCACAAGCTCTTATTTTTGATTGATTTTATTATAGTCTTTGTTAAACATTTATTTATTTATATGAATGCTCTGTCTGCATAGATGCCTGAAGGTTAATAGAGGGCATCAGATCCCATTATAGATGGTTGTGAGCCACTGTATGGGTGCTGGGAATTGAACTCAGGACCTTTGGAAGTGCAGCCAGTGCTCTTAACCACTGGGGCATCTCTCTACCTCATTGGATGTTTTACTGTAACCTGAGTTGACCTGGAATTCACAATATAGCTCAGGCTCACCTTGGACTCACGGCAATCTCCCTGCCTCCACCTCCCTAGTGCTAGAATTATAAGTTTAGCCTTACTCTTTTTTATTTTTTAGCTTTTTTTTTTTAACATTTATTTATGTTTGTGTCTTTGAGTGTCTGTGGCACATGTGTGTGGCAACCAGAGGAAAACTTGTGGTGCAGTCAGCTTGCGCCATCCACCTTGTGGGACCCAGGAACTGAACTCTGGTCCTTGGGCTTGCACAGTACATGCTTCTACTACCTGCTAAACTATCTCCTAACACTAAAAGTTTATTCCTTGTGTAAAGCACAACTATCCCTACATTCCTTGGCAGAGCCACAGTGTGCCTGGAGTGGTCGGATCTGATGGAGCAGGCGTGGGAATAAACTGTCCTAAAAGGCATCTTTCTGGAAGAAAGATGGAGAAACTCTACAAGGTGAAGGAGTTGAAAGCAGCCTGCAGAGCTGAGAGGGAGGAAGTGGGCCAGCAGACATCCACTAGACAAAAGCAGGGAAGGCTGGTTCTCCGGGAACCTGTTGAGGTCCTGAGATTGCTGAGAAGGATCCCAACAAGCCCCACTTGAACAGTGTTTGGGGCTGGCTGCTCTCTCAAAGGATTTTGTTACACCGTTAGCTGCAGAGATCAAGTCAATTGATATATTTGATGGCATCAGAAGTCTTTTTTGTTTTGTTTTGTTTTTGTGTTTCGAGACAGGGTTTCTCTTTGTAGCCCTGGCTGTCCTGGACTCACTTTGTAGACCAGGCTGGCCTTGAACTCACAGCAATCCGCCTGCCCCTGCCTCCTAAGTGCTGGGATCACAGGTGTGTGCCACTGTGCCCAGCTGGCACCAGAAGTCTTATATTTTTGGTTATGAGCCTATCCTTTAATGGCTGATCCATCTCTCCAGCCATGGGCCGGAAGTCTTGATCCTTTACAGAGTAGAGGCTTCTAGGAATAGTCTGCCTATCTCTAGTTTGAGCTTATGTTCCTGTATTGGTCAGGGTTCTCTAGAGGAACAGAACTTATAGAAGGAAAAATCTGGATCAGAAGTGGGTCTTCCCACGTCAAATGATTTAATTAAGAAAAACATCCCTCACAGGTGTGCCCAGCCATTTGGTAGAAGGATAGCCATCTCAGCTCCTAACATCTTTTTTTTTTTAATGATTTATTTATTTAGTATTCCGCCTGCATGTATGCCTACATGCCAGAAGAGGGCACCAGATCTCATTGTGGATGGGATGGTTATGAGCCACTATGTGGTTGCTGGGAATTGAACTCAAGACCTTTGGAAGAACAGCCAGTGCTCTTAACCGCTGAGCCATCTCTCCAGCCCCAGTTCCTAACATCTTATTTTTAATGATTTGTTTTTATGTCTGTGTACATGTGTGTCGGGGTCTTTGGAAGGCAGAAGAAAATGGAACAGAGTTATAGACAACCTTTAGCTACCTGACATGGGTGCTGGAAACCTGACTCAGGGCCTCTGCAAGAGCAACAAGTGCTGAGATACCTCTCCAGCCCTGCTGACATCTTATTTTTGAAAAGCTACTCAAAGCCAGATCATGTTCCAGACAGCCAAGGCTATACAGAGAAATCCTGCCTGGAACAAACAAGCAAAGCTGCCTAAATCATAAATGTGCTTTACAGTTAGGCACACTCATGGAAGATTCGATCTTAACAGACATCTTTCCATACCTGTTGTTCTCTGTTCTCCTGGTGATGGCTCCTGACCACTCAGGGTCCCTCCACCCCTGACATTTGATTGTATAGAGCCAGGCATGGTGGCTCATGCCTTTAATCCCAGCACTGGGGAAGCAGAAACTGGTTGGACCTGAGTTCAAGACCAGCCTGGTCTACAAAGTGAGTTCTAGGACAGCCAGGGCTATAATAAGCCCTGTCTTAAAAAAAAAAAAAAAAAAAGTTGTATAGGCTACACACTGTCAAGAAATGCTGTACAGGGTGTTTCTAATTCCCTGGCCTGCTGGGACTCTGTATCCCAGGAGAGGCGGTGTTTGAAGTTGCTATCTGCAGCTGTGTTATAATGCCAGGAAAAACTGCTGTTGAGACCCAGGAAGAGGAGGCAGAGCTGGTAACATGGAGCCCATGTCAGACATAGCAGCCGTGCTTTCCCCAGCTCAGAGCCATCTCCGCTGCTGGCTGTTACAGCCCTCTGTCATGTATTACCTCGGTCCGTCCCAATTCCCTTCCTTTAGTCCGTCCTGGGGGAGTCCCCAGACCAGTATCTGGAAGAGCCCAGACCATTCCTGCTTAGGGCCAACCAGGCCTCCCTGGGAGGGGATAGACAGAATAAAGACCCACACGTGTGTGTGTGTGTGTGTGTGTGTGTGTGTGTGTGTATGTGAATGACTGAGAGAAGCCCCCCCCCCGTCACAAAACATCTATCATGACCTAGAAAAGAAAGGAGAGACAGAAGGAAAGATAGAGAAAAAGAAGCTCTTAGGCTCCTGGTTATAAAGGAGGAAGACGAGAGAAAGCAAGCAGATGGTTTGTTTTTGGTGGTGTTGTTTGCTTTTTCAAGACAGGGTTTCTCTGGGTAATAGCCCTGGCTGTCCCAGAACTCCTTCTCTGTAGACTAGGCTGACCTTGAACTCATAGAGATTTGCCAAGCGGACAGTTGCGTGGAATTATGTATAGTGGGGCTGGCTAGACAGCTCAACATGTAGAATCACTTGCGCTCAAGTCTGACAGGCAGCACTCCACACCTAAAACCTGTGCTCTCACCTCCACATTCCCACCATGGTGTGTGCACGTCCACACGGACCAATACAGAGTTTATTTGTTTTATCTTATTTGAGACGGTGTCTCTCTACGTGGGCCTGGCTGGCCTGGAACTTTCTAGGCAGACCAGACTGGCCTTGACCTCACAGAGGCCCACCAGCCTCTGCCTCTCGAGTGCTAAGACTATAGGCATGTGCCACCATGCCCAGCCAGCTTTTTTGTTTTGTTTTGTTTTGAGTAGCCTTGGCTGTCCTGTGTAGCCTTGGCTGTCCTGTCTTAGCCAGATCCACCTGCCTCAGCCTTTCATTGCTCTGGGATTAGAGTGTGCTACCACATCTGGCTTCCCAGCCAAAATTTTAAAACTGATTTCCGGAGGACATGAGGGAGGAAACGAAGGAAGGAGACACGTGCGCTCAGGAGCACCCGTGAAGCTTGGGGGGTTTACCTCCACGGCTCTCGTTCCATCTCATCACAGTTGTCGTTTCCTCTGGGGGCTGACTGCAGGCCGGGGGTGGGGGTGGGGGCGGGGGCGGGCAGGCCTGCGTTTCCTCTCCTGACGCACGTTCCTGCGCAGGTGTACCACCGGGCTGACCACCCCAGCACCGTGCTGCAGCGGCTGAACGAGCAGCGGCTGCACGGCCTCTTCTGTGACGTGATCCTTGTGGTTGAAGATCAGCAAGTACCAGCCCACCGCAACCTCCTGGCTGTGTGCAGCGACTACTTCAACTCCATGTTCACGCTGGGCATGCGCGAGGCCTTCCAGAAGGAGGTGGAGCTGGTGGGCACCTCCTATGTGGGGCTCAAGGCCGTGGTGGACTTCCTGTACAGCAGTGAGCTGGAGCTGGACGGCAGCAACATTGACTACATCCTGGAGACGGCGCACCTGCTGCAGATCTGGGCCGTGGTGGACTTCTGCTGCGAGTACCTGGAGCAGGAGGTGAGCGAGGACAACTATCTATACCTGCAGGAGCTGGCCTCCATCTACAGCCTCAAGCGGCTGGACGCCTTCATCGACAGCTTCGTCCTGAGCCACTTCGGCGCCCTGTCCTTCACGCCCGACTTCCTGCAGACCGTCTCCGTGCAGAAGCTGTGCGTCTACCTGGGCAGCTGCCAGGTCCAGCACCAGTGGGAGTACGACCTGCTGCAGGCGGCCCTGCAGTGGCTCGCGCAGCAGCCGGAGCGGGAGGCGCACACCTGCCGCGTGCTGGAGAACATCCGCTTCCCGCTCTTCCCGGAGGACATCCTGCTCCAGCGGGTGAAGCTGGCCATGTGCTCGCTGTTGCCCAGTGAGGCCAGCTTTGAGGGCTTCGTGGAAGAGGCCATGCACTACCACCACAGCCTGGTGGCGCAGCCTGTCCTGCAGACCAAGAGGACAGTGCTGCGTTCTGAGGAGCGCTTGCTCTTCGTGGGTGGTGAGGTCTCCGAGCGGTGTCTGGAGCTGAGCGATGACGCCTGCTACCTGGACACCAAGAGCGCGCAGTGGGTGAAGGAGACCTCCCTGCCCGCCCGCCGGAGCCATCACTGCGTTGCCGTGCTGGGGGGCTTCATCTTTGTTGCCGGTGGCAGCTTCTCGAGGGACAACGGAGGGGATGCGGCCTCCAACCTGCTTTATAGGTATGACCCCCGCCGTAAACAGTGGCTCAAGGTGAGATTAAAGCAAATTAATTTGTTACTCTCGAGGCCTCTTTGCAGCTCCCTCACCTCACTGTGGCTTCCCGTTTGGGGGCCTTAACGACTGCCCTGCTCCTGAGAGAGCTGTGATGATAAAGTGATGGCCACGTCCTCGCTGCCCTCCCTGTACCTAAACCTGGGTAGGGGTCGGTGAAGGCCAAGCAGCTGCCATCTGAAGGGCTGGCTGTTGTACAAAGCAGCGTTCTTCGATAGAACCTTCCGCCCTAATGGGAATATTTGTAGCACCTATGTGGCCATTGAGAGCTTGAAATGCGGCCAGCGTACAGTTTTAGTATGATCTAATTGTAACTAGCAGATAGGAAGTGTTGATGGCTACCCCAGGCTCCGTGACAGGGTTCAACCAAGCGAGGACGCCCATGCCTCAGAGCCTTTGCTGGGATTCTCGGTGGAGAAGAGGTTTGGGAAGTGATTTTCAGGAAGCAACAAAGCTTAATACAACCTAGGGCAGGCACGGAGCCCACACATCTGTCAGCCCTATTAGCACACCCTAGCTGAGTGTCTCAGTTTCTACTGCTGTGAAGAGGCATCATGACCAACACAGCTCTTATAAAGGAGAACACTTAGGTCTGGAGAAATGGCTCTCAGTTAGTTAAGAACATTTATTGTTCTTGCAGAAGATCAGAGTTCAGTTCCCAGCACCCACATGGCTACTCACGAATATCCTTGACTCCAGTTCTGGGAGAGTTCATGTTTTGACCTCCATGTACACAAGGCATGCACATTTATACATGCACATAAAATAAATGTTTCTTTGTAGAGGAGGCATTAATTGGGCCCTGTTTGCAGTTTCACAGAGTTAGTCCATCATCCTCTGTGCCGAAGCAGACAGGCACAGAGCTGGAGCTGGAGCTGAGAGCTTTATATTTTGATCCACAGGCAGCAGATACTGAGACTGGGCCTGGCACGGGCTTTCAGAACCTCAGCGCTCACCACCCCGAGTGACACACCTCCTCCAACAAGGCCATGCCTCCTAATGCTTCCCAAACAGTTTACTAACTAGGGACCAAGCATGCAAGTATCTGAGCCTGTACCCTGAGCTAGTGAATGCTCAGGACTTTCAAGCTGGCTCCTTATCCTCTCCAAGTCTCACATCTCACCTCTGGATATGCTTGTGGCCGGAGCTGATGGGCATAGGTATGGCTGCAGTGATGTGACCCCTCTATGTGATCAGTTCTCTAGACTTGCAGCCATGGAAATCTGTCCTCATGCTCATACCTCTGTGTGACCAATCACCTCGGTGTTGGCCGAATTTAACACCGGCCAGGCGTGGTGACTCACACCTGTAATACCAGGATTTAGGAGGCTAAAGCGGGAGGATTGCCACAAGTCTGAAGCCAATTTGGTCTACGTAGTGATTCAGCCTGGACTATAGATTGAGGCTAACACAAAGCCAGAATGGATTCCAGATGATCTTTCAATTCTATCCTCAAAACTCTAATAACCTGGGCTAGCAAGATGGCTTCGTGGGTGAAGGGGCTAGCCATGGAAGCCTGGCGACTTGAGTTCAGTTCTCAGAACCCTGTTAGTGGAAGAAGAGAACCAACTCCACAGAGCTGCCCCCTGACCTCCACACATATGCCATGGCATGCATGTCCTCCCTCCCCTCGCATATATAGAATAAACAAACAAAAACTCCAAACCTAAAAGCCAAGTGAGGCCTCTAGGAAGCCCAGCTTTGGAGTCCCTCCTGAAAAGCTGTTAGCAGAGGCTGGGCCTGTGGTCTCCTGGGTTATCAAGGTTGGTGCTTGTACATTCGCCTGCTGATGTCACTCTCTGCTCTGTTAACATGGGTGGTGGCCAGTGGATCTCAGCCGGGATGCGCTACAGAGGTAGGGCATTGTCCAGCACACCAGAATCCCTGGTTCTGCTCCTAAAGCGCTCTGAACAGACATCCGATGGGGAAGAAGGGAAAACTTGTGTTTGTTTAAATGCTTTCTTTTATGTAGATTTATCTATTTCATTTTTATGTGTATGTGTATTTATCTATTTCATTTTTATGTGTCATGCTTGCATGGATGTCTGAGTGCCATATGCATGCCTTGTGTCTGAAGAGGTCAGGCAAGCACATCGGATCCCTTGGAACTAGAGTTACAAACAATTGTAAGCTACCATGTGGTTGCTGAGAATCGAACCTGGATCCTCTGTAAGAACCAGTGCTCTTAACAGATGAGCCATCTCTCTAGTCTGACTTTTTTTTTTTTTTTTTTTTTGAAACTTACTCATTTCTTGCATAATGCTAGGTCACAAGGTTGACCATGTGGCCAAACCAGTTTGAGGAGGTATGTCACCATGCAACTCTTAGGGGTTTGAGTGGAAGCATCAGAGCCTCTCAGAATTCCTGCCAGCAGCACCCCCTTACCTCAAATCCAGGACCCCCTCTGTCCCACTCATCTGGCCCTCCGGGGTCATTCCCTCTGTGGACACAGTTGAGGAACGTGGTGCTAGGGTTAGGGAAGGGAAGCCTCAGGTGTCTCACCCTCGCAGGTGGCGTCCATGAACCAGCGCCGTGTGGATTTCTACCTGGCCTCCATGGAAGACATGCTGGTGGCTGTCGGCGGCCGGAACGAGAACGGGGCGCTGTCTTCTGTGGAGACCTACAGCCCCAAGACCAACTCCTGGACCTATGTGGCTGGCTTACCAAGGTGATGGGGGCTTTAAGGCTGACTGCTGGAAGCTGCTGTAGTCGCAGGAAGCTGCTGGGGTTTGGTCTTGCTTTCTGTAGGCGGGAACTCGGGGAGGAGGAGCCTCACCCTACTGGGTTTCATTCTCTCACCTGCAGAGTAGGTACCACAGCACAGTAAGGGGAAAGTTAGACACCGTCTCTCAGTGACATCCTCATGTGACCCCCAGCAGCCAGGTGGCACCCCAGGAATAGTGGTGAACCCCACCCTCCCCGGGCACCGAGTGTGGGTTGTGGCATGGATCTGCCGAACCTGCACATCGTGTTTAACTGCTCCTCTGTTGCACCTGAACCCAGGCTCGCTGGACCATTCTGGCCATTGGATACACTAGGTATCTTGGGGACGTGTGGGGTTGGAGTGAACCTGTGTTTTAAAGTCACATTTGAGCCTGGCATGGGGGCTCATGCCTCTAACCCAGCACCCAGGAAGCTGAGGCAGGGGATTGAGTTTGAGGCCATGCCGGGCTACATAGTGAGACTTTGTCTCAAATAAATAAAAATGGATTCCAGGAATTAGGAGGTAATTCCTAGACACTGTTGGTGAGCAGGTGTCACTGTGACTAGGCCCTGGGTATCCTGGTGAATGGCAGTAAGAAAGACAGTAAGCAGGTTGTCAGTGATGTAAGAGGTTGCCTGTCTATGGGCTCACTGAGTGGGCACCATATCACCGTCTATCGGGTGAAGTAAAGCTGGTGGTTGTGCTGAGAGCCACTGCCACCGCTGCCCCTTCTCAGTGGAATTATTTCTAAGGAGACCTCCTGTGCCCTCAGTTGGTGTGAACCCAGCCCATGATGCTATCACCAGCTATCTGTGCACAACCCACTTTTATTAGTTTCCTCCCCAGCCTTTCTCAGTCATTGCCTTGTTGGCATAGCAGGGCCTGCAGGATCTCCATCAGGAGTCAGGAGCTATGCTGACCCGTCTCGTCTGCCTGCCCTGGGCTCTTCCTGTGAGCACCATCCCAGCCTTCCTCAGCCCCAGTTGCCGACTAAACCACACGAGACAGGCTTCATGTCCTTGCTCCTGTGCTTTACTTTGGGGCTTTGTGGGGGGTTTTGTTTTTTGTTTTTGTTTGATTTTGTGTGTGAGTTATGTGTTCACGTGTGGGCGCCACAGCACACATGTGACTCACAGGAACTGGTCTTTTCTTCTACCGTGTGGGCTCCAAGGGGTCAAACTCGGGCGGTCAGGCTTGGCAGCACCTTGGCCCACTGAGCCACCCTGCCAGCTCTCTGCAGCATGGGTCTCACCGGCTGGCCTAGAACTCACAGAGCTGTCCCTAAGCGCTGGGATTGAAGGTGTGCATCACAGGCCCTGCTATACATTCTCTCTCTCTTTTCTTTTTCCACTTTGATGATGTTTAGAGGAGTCAGGCTTTCAGAAAACTGCCCAGAAAGTGGAATGCTCCCATGCACCCTCCCTGAGGCAGGGGCCACTTGTTCACCTGAGTTCTGTGCCCCTTGTCCATTGACATCCGAGGTCTGTAAGGTGCCCGTGATTTGCCCACTCTGTGTTTTCTCCCCCAACCCTCACGGCTTCCTGAGAAGCACTCTGCCAGGCCCTGAGCTCTTCTGTTCTCCGGCCTCTCTGCAGGTTCACTTACGGCCACGCGGGTACCATCTACAAAGACTTCCTGTACATCTCAGGGGGCCATGACTACCAGATTGGCCCATACCGCAAGAACCTGCTGTGCTATGACCACCGGACGGATGTGTGGGAGGAGAGGCGGCCCATGACGACAGCGCGAGGCTGGCACAGCATGTGCAGCCTGGGCGACAGCATCTACTCCATCGGCGGCAGCGACGACCACATGGAGTCCATGGAACGCTTCGACGTGCTGGGCGTGGAGGCCTACAGCCCCCAGTGCAACCAGTGGACCCACGTGGCCCCGCTGCTGCAAGCCAACAGCGAGTCGGGCGTGGCCGTGTGGCAGGGCCGCATCTACATCCTGGGGGGCTACAGCTGGGAGAGCACCGCCTTCTCCAGGGCCGTGCAGGTGTACGACCGTGAGGCCAACAGGTGGAGCAGGGGGCCGGACCTCCCCAACGCCATTGCGGGCGTGTCGGCTTGCGTGTGTGCCCTCAACCCAAGGCTGGAGGAAAAGAAGAAGAGGAACAAGGACAAGCGACAGGACCGAGGTCAGTGACACCGAGCCACTCATCGACGCGGCCACACCCACCGCACTTACTCTTAGCAGCTTTTTGTACCTTTTTGATTCCTGGTGTTTCTATGCTGTCACAGTAAATAATAACGAAACGTTCTTCACAATTTTGCATAATATCTTGTTTGAATGCTTAGACTTGGGCCTTCATATCTGTGCTGGCCTTCTTCCCTGGCCATATACTCCTAAATGACCCCATGACTGTCCCGGCCAGCAGTAGCTGGCTCGAAGGTTATATGGAAATTTTTATAGTGAAACTTGGGTCTTCTAAGGTCTGAGCCTCCCCAAACCCAGCTGAACTTCCATACAGACGCCCAGGCCGTGCTCAGGGGCTGGAGGAGGCTGGTCCCTCTGGAGATGTGAGTGTCAGCTGCATTCTGCATTCAGTTGTCCCAGGAGAGACCAAGCTTGCTCTTCATTTAAAGACACGGGGACCCCATGCTCCTGGACAGACAGGCTAGAGCCAGGGACTCTTGATTTTCTTTCTGAAAGTTCCATAGTAGCCGAGTCTTTTCTGCAGAGTGCCATCTTCCCTGGCTGGCAGTCTTTGTGAATTCTGTATAGGTCTTTAAGGAAAAAGGGGCGGGGGAGAGCACCCTAAGGTGTTTATGTACGACATTCTGAGTGTATGGGAGCCACCCACCTCTCGTCACTGTCCTAAGTGAGCTCCCCCAATCCACCTTTCTTCTCTCCGAAACGAAAGGGCAGCCCTGCAGCACCTTCAGTCATTTCCCTGGGCCGGCCTGGCCATTGAGAGCGCTGCACAGACGAGTATGCAGGTCTCCAAGAAGGGGGCCAAGTTCCTTTCCCTGCTGGCCCCGCTGGCTACTGTAAGTGGCTCTGCCATGCTGGGAGGATTCTGGTTCTCCATTTTTTTCCTTCTTTGAAACAGGGTCACACACTGTAGCCCTTGGCTATCCTCAAACTCATAGTGATCCTCCTGCGTCAGCCTCCTGAGTGCTGGGATCATAGGTCTAACCACCATACCCAGTCAGACTCTCCGGTGCTTTCATCTGGCCACACCTCATTTCTCTCTTTCTCTTTTATTTCTTTTTTCTTTTTAGCTTTTCAAGACAGGGTTTCTCTGTGTAGCCCTGGATATCCTGGGACTTGCTCCATAGGCCAGGCTGGCCTCAAACTCAGAGATCCACCTGCCTCTGCCTCCCAAGTGCTGGGATTAAAGGCGAGCACCACTACTGCCTGGCCACACCTCATTTCTTACTCAGCAGGGTCAGGGTAACTCCCTCCAGTCTTTGTGTTAGAAGCAAAGCCTCGGCTCACTGGTTGGATTTTTTTTTTTTTGAAACAGGGTCCCTTGTAACCTAGGCTGGCCTTGAACTCTTGATCCTCCTGCCTCTACCTCCCAGGTACCAGGGTCATAGGATTTGCTACCATGCTCAGATTCCCAGTTGACTTTTTCTCCTCTGCACTTCCTTCCTTCCTTCCTTCCCGATCGGGGGTTCATTCTGGTCAGCCTGCTTCTGCAGTGATGTGGGAGAGGGAAGACAGGCCTGAGAAGCGAAGGCTTCAGAGTCTGGTCTCCATCACTGCCGCGTAAGCAGTCCGCCCATTTGTCAGTTACTGCAAGGCATGCCGGCCGACGACCAGGGAGCTTCGTGCCCTCACTACTGTAAGAGGCTCTGAGGAGTCTTGCGCTGTTCACCTCCATCATCCCACTGTTTTCTACACTTTGGCTTTGAAACTCCACCCCTCCCCCATCCCCACTACTGAACTCCAGGACAGTATATCCATCCCTATTCCAAGAAAAACTTGATTACTTGAAAATCTTTCAGAAGGCATAGTGGCCCATTCTCCACAGATTGTGAACACACAGGAAGGGGGTTCATCCAGAATTGGATGGGAAAAGCACATGGTAAGCTTCAAGAATGTCTTACAGAGCAGGACAGCTGTGACCTTGGGAAGAGCAAAGCCAATCATTGATCTGAGCGTAAGCCAGTTCTCCCATTGCTCACTGCTGGTGTCTGCCCCAGACAAGGGGAGATGCGGCCTCCATTCCACTTGGTATCATGTGGGTTAGCCACAGTGTCCCTTCAGCACTGTTAATGTAGCTAATAACTTACAGGCTTGGAATCTGCTTCTGTGGCAGCTGAAAGTCTTCCTTTAAAGGGAGGGCTGGACTGTAAGTTTCACTGTGGACTGCTTTTCCGCATAGCTGGGGGCAGCTGCCCTCTACTGAGAAAGAGTTTTGAGCTTGTTGGCATCCGTGGAAAGGCCTAGAGCCCAGAAATGTTCCCTGGCCACGTTTTCATTACCTGGGGCTTTAATTGAAAATTCTATGCAAGAATAAAAGGAAACAGATTTCTGCCACGACAGACAGCTTCCAGCTGACCCCAGCAAGTAACTGCTATAATCATGGCAGGCTTTGAATTGGATGTTGCACTTTCTCATTTATAAAGAATTAGTTTTACCTTATATTTGTTGCAGGTTTTTGTTTGGAACTCTGTTTGAGTAAGGCAGAAATGCAATAAGAGATGGAAGCTCCGGGTGGGGTGGGGTGGGGTGGGGTTTGCCTGGTCCTCCTGGTATTTGGCATCACTTAGAGCAGCCGGCTGCTGAGGCGCGTGCCTGCCACCCAATCACTGGAAAGCTGAGGTCGGAGGATCTCCTAAGCCAGAAAATTCCAGGCCAGCAACACGCTGAGACCCTATGCTGCCCCTGCCCTCAAAAATACATGATTGGCAGGATTTATCCTATTTCATGCTATAAGACCCCTGAGTAGGCAGGGCACCTTGTTTTGAACAGTGTGAATGTCCTTTCCAGTTCCTAAGTATAAGGTGACCTGGGACAGAGTTAGATGAGGCCCCAGCAGCTAACTCAGGTGGTGTTTTAGGCCTCCCCCAAGGCTCGGTGCCATGGCTGCAATTTTAGATGTACTGACCTGTATCTCAGTACCTTGGCCCCTAAGCCGAGAGGAACCTTCTAGAGCTAGAAGTAAAAGATGCCTGTCCCCCCTCCCACCATCTTAGAGAATCACCGGTCGTCCTCCCTAACCCTCCTCCCTGTGGTGTAGTGTTGGGCTGCACCCTTAGTCTGGGGTCTCCATCCTGCAGGGGCACCTGACCCCCAGGACAAACCTGCATAATTAACACAGGCCAGCTTCATAGAAGACCCTGCATCTGTCAACCTGACTTTTTAGAGATTTTAAAAACTGTTTTTGATACTTTTTCATACAATTTGCTAATCACCATTTTGTAGAATGCCTGCTGGGATTGGTTCCCCAGCTCCTTCCTTACCGTCAGCATCTTGGTTTGTCTAGATAACGGATGCCCTGTTGTCAGTGTGCACCTTGCTTTGTGTGGCTTTGTCTTCCATCTCGCCCTTCCATGTGAGCAAGTCTCGAGTTTTGTGAGTTCACGCATAGCGATGGATAGGACCATCTGAGGGCACGGGTGTGCCAGGAGGGCAGTTCTTGTCCTTCAGAAGGTCTGTATTTCTGCTGGAGCTCCTCTCTCAGTGGAGTGCAGTGGGAGAGTTACCTGAAGCTGGTCCACATATAATCTGTTTCATACGGGTCATTTCTCTAACATGTGTGGCTGGGGTCCTGGTCTCTTCCTGTCTACCTATCCAGTGAAGAACGCCTAACCCCACGCAGCCATCACCATAGCATGCCATCCTTGCACTTTATAGTCTCTGACCTCCAACTGAATGTTGTCTGTGTGAGTTTAATGTGACTAGAATTGGTGGCTTCTGGGGGGACCTGAGTGCCTTAAATTGTCCCTCAGTTGTCTCAGTTAACAGCATGGAATGAATGGGGCTGGGACGAGGGCTCTCCTAACATGCAGAAAGCCCGTGGGTCCCATCCCCAGCACCACATAAACTGAGCATGGTGGCCCAAGCCTGTATTCTCAGCACTTGGGAGGTAGAGGAAGGAGGATCCGAAGTTCAAGGTCATCCTTGACTACACAGCAAGTTTGAGGCCAGCCTCAGCTACAGGAGAGCCTGTCTCAAGTTAATTAATGAATAAAAGCATCAGATGAACATAACAGTGTGTACCTGTGTTGACCTGAGACGCAGGGTCCTTAGGTTTGATGTCGCAGCCATCAATAGCTGGCCCCGGTCAAAATCAGGTCAGGTTGATGGTGATAAAAGCATTTGATGCCTTCTGGCTCCTGATGTCACAGAAATCTGTAACTGTATATGATATGCTTTTTAATGTGTAGCCTTTGTGTCTGTAAATTTTATGGCAATCGACATTTTCCTGTCTTGCCTCCTTGGTTAACTTTCCTGCATGTTGCTTTGGTTTGGAATTCTATAGAGAGCACTAAAATACATTAAAGGAAGTTGTCTGACAGAGCGTGCTTCCATGGTCTGTGTGTCTGTCTTCTCTGCTTTTATGAGGATGAACTCCTGTATGTGTAATTTGGAAATGAATCTGCTTCCTTTGAACACCTAGAGGCTGGGGCATTTCAAGGCCACCTCAGTTGTGCTTTACCCAGAAGTGTCATTCAGATCCTCGATCGTCACACTGAGTCCCTGCACCTGAGGTGTACATGTGTTGGGGTAATTTAGTTAACAAATTGGGGTAGCAAAGAACAAAGCTAGAAATGGAGAGGAGTCTAGGCTAGGGAGTGCAATGGGTCCCCCTTGACCAGAAAGACCACGGCTAGGGGTAGAACTCAGACACACAGTCCTTCGCTACATGCATCAAACTCTAGGTTCCGTCCGTCACACCACAGAACAAAAACAATGCAGCCCTTGAAAGTCCAAGGCAGGAGGCAGACCGCCCTGGCCTGCAGAACGAGACCCTGTCTCAAAGAATCGAAAAGGCGAAGATCTGAAGCTGTTAGTGAAGACAGAGGCTCCTGTCCCGTTGGGGCCCGTGGAGGGGAGCTTGGTTCCCTGCATGCAAGGCTTAGTGAGGCCACCTGTGGACAAGCTGGTCACTGTCAGTGCCTTCGACTACTCAGCATCCAGAGAGCACAGGGAGGCGCCTGCACCTGCACACCTGGAAGCCTTGAGCCACCCCAGGTAGGACACAGGGCTGCCTACCACAAATCCCTCCCTTCAGTGCTCCTAGGTCATCAGTCCAAAGCCCAGATCAGGAACCCTGCCGAATGAAACTCCCTTGGCACCTGACAGCCAGCTGCCAGTGGTCTTGGTTCAGGAGCGAGGTTGATGAGATGGGAAGAAGAGCCTTTGCCTTTATAGAGTGACAAGTCAGTCACAGACAAGCAGGGTGACCATCGTCTGTGACATAGAAAAAAATATGAGGATCAGCTGCTCTCACCTGAGGTGCACCCAATCATGAAATCACCCATCTCATCGGGTAGGGGTTCCTGAAAGCTGGCTAATGCCAGGATCTCTGCGGTCACAGCAGCCAACAGAGCGGTGATAGGCAGGAAGCAAGAAGGCAATTTAGTTCAACACGACTAAGCAGCTGGTGCCACGAACCAGCCCAGTCAGGTTCCCCGCATCCTCAGGAGAATCAGAGGTTTGGATATCAGGAAGGCACAGTTTCAGGCGAGTTGACAGACAGAGCCCACACCAAAGAGTGATTCTGCTGCAATTTTACTGAAGTCAGGCTAATAATTTTATAGTAATTACATAGGGAAACTCCTTAAAGTTGGCATACTTCCCAGAACACTTAGATTTTTACCAAGAATACAAAGTTTACATTTTGACTCAAAAGTGTAGCCAAACATAAAGCAGTGCCCACAAGAAATTTTGGTCCAAAAACTTTTTGATCAAAGCAAACAAAGGACAAAACCTCAAACTGCAGTTTCATTATTGCTAACCAGTGAAGAGGAAAGTCAGGAGCTAAGTCAGATGCCTGCCAAAATCTTTCTCTGCATCAAAGTCTAAATACACCTTTGTTAACCGTCCTCCCATATGTCTTGCTAAAGATTTATAATCTTCCTTAGAAACAAGACGCCAAAGGGAGGCATGCTCGAGCCAGCTGTACTTTCCTATGCTCTCTTTTCCTAAGGAGGAGCCCATTATTTTTTCACTATTCTTATAATGCTTTAAATACTAAATCTAATTCATTACTTCTCTTAAAATTACTTTTCTTCCGTTCTATTCTTATTAAAGCTTTTAGTAATCTATCAAAAATATGTTTCCCTGAATAGTTAATTGTGCTATTCCAAGAATCATAGGAAAAGATCAAAAAACTCATTAATCCAGCCCCACAACCGCGACCGAAAAAGTGTGGAGGTCCTAGAATACGTCTTTTAACTTAGGTGGTTGGGGAAACACTTGCTAGGGACCTCCAGAGAACATATTTCCGAAGAAAGCATATCTCCCACCTAGTAGCACAATCTATTGATATGCTACACTGGTGATGCTGGAGTGGGTTTAAACTTCTGGAGTCTGACCCCAGTAGTTGATTTTCATAGTAGTCATATTTAAGTAGTCCTATTTAAGGACAGCACATTTTGGTGAAAACTCTCCTGGTGATAATTAACTCAATCCCGTGTGCACAATAAAGATTACCATAAACCTCCTTGAGGAATAAAGTATATAAAGATCAGATGTGACCCGCATGGGAACTCCTGGTAAAGTACATTTGACACCTTCTGTAAAGACAGGTTCTATAAGCAGGGCAGTGGTAGCACATGCCTTTAATCCCAGGGTCTCTGAGGTCAAGGCCAGCATGGTCTACAGAGGGATTTCAGGACAGTCAAGGCTACACAGAGAAACAAAACAAAACAAACAAATAAAAACCACGTCGAAAAGTAGGTTCTATAGACTGACCAACAAAAACATGCTCATGGAAAGGGTCTGGGGGAGGACTAGTGTGGTCTCTGAGCACACGGATAATACAAAGGTCACCGGGCTATTAAACATGAGCAGTGCAGCCTTCTGAGTGGATAACAGGTTATATATCTCTTCCCTTGAAGGAACAGCTTGTGTGTTCCCCTAGTGCTTATCTGTGAGCACATAGACCTTTGTGCCTCCTTCAGGTCAGGAAAGCTCAACAGCTTGGGCTTCCTCACACACCGCTCTTCCCCTCCTCTTTCCTCTTATCTTTGGTACCCTGCTCTCTCTCGCTCTCTGTCACTCTCTCTCCACAAGGTGACCTGATGCACCTCTTACTTGGCAGCCAGAGCTCACCAGGGTTCACCAGGGTGAAGGTCCCCAGTGTAAGGAGCCACTTGAGTTTTGAGCCCAGCTTGAGAATCATGTGTTGTTGCATTCCTGGGAGCCATCACACTTCTTCCTGCTGAAAGGATGTCAGTGACATGGTGGACCCGTCCCCAAGCCCCGAGGTCACTGCCCGAGGTATCGGGAGCAGAGGATACCTCACACACATTTGCACTTCAGCAGGGACCACCCCAGATGCTTGACCCAACTGCGCCTTTGGCTGTGGGTGCAGGAAACTGCACCCAGGCTCTGAGGGGTTGCAGGGCAGAAAGGAGTGATGTGTGGGTTGGTGACAGAACTCAATGCTACCACACTGGATAATCCTTTGCCCACTATGGGCTAGGTCTGATTAAAATTGATCCTTCAAAGCTGTGGTTCTCACCATGTGGGCTGTGGGCTGGCAGTGTTAGCCCAGACCCACTAAATTAGAAACTCAAGTGGACCCAGAAAGCTGTTTTCAACCTATCTCTGCGCAGTCCTGATGCACATTTAAGATGCTAACATATGTCAGGTGTGGTGGCAAATACCTGTAATCTCAGCACTCGGTGAGACAGAGGCAGACAGATCTCTGTATGAGGCTAGCCTGCTCTACAGTGAGTCCAGGACAGCCAAGGTTACACACTATGTCTCAAAAAACAAAACAAAACAAAACAAAAATCAAGATATAGGAAAAATGGTGCAATTTCTGACTGGACAGTGATGCTAAAGCCACAAGCAGAGAATTCCTGTATTGCCTGGGAAGTTGTTGCTGAGTCAAGCACAGCCCTCATCAGAGGCAGGCTGGTCTACAGAGCAAACTCCAGGACAGCCAGGGCCACACAGAGAAACACGACACACACACACCCCACACAAAGTTATGTACTTAAGGGAGTACATTAGATAGCATTTGAATTATATCTCAATAAAGCCATTTACAGAATTAAGCTAATTAAAGCAAAGTTGCACCCATTCTTGTCCTCTTAGCTCCAAAGAGCTACAGGCTGTAAGCCAGGACTTAATAATTTTTTTAAAGATTTATTTCTAACGTGGGGTTAAGATAAGACTGAGAACCAGCAATATGGCTCAGAGTAAGGGCTCTTGTTGCCAAGCCTAATGACCTAAGTTCAATTCCCAGAATTCATGGTGGAAAGGGAAACCACGTGTCTAAATTGTCCTTGGAACTACACAGGCATATAGTGGCATGGGCTCCTCCCCCAAATAAATAAGATTTTAAATGGGCGCCCTCCTGTTGACCATATGGAGCAGCTGTCCTCAGTTCTGGACCAGCTTGGGCTGGAAACACTCTCTGGCCCTTCAGGACAGAGCCATCAACTACTCCGTAGGAAACCTTTCTCTGCCCACAGCTCTTCCTGGATCCCCAGCCAACAGCTGTGCCTGGTTTGTTCCGGTCAAAACCCAGGCCTTCTCCAGGTAAGCACGGGCTGCTGTGGAAAGAGTCTGAAGTGGCCTCACTAGGCGCTCACACCTGCTGCCCTCTGAGGACGACAACTCTCTACTGCCCTTCCTGTTGACACAGCAGGAAGCCCCGGGGTCTGCCCTGCGAGCGCTGGCTCTGTTTCATAGATGCGTTTACCAGGCCGCCTCTGCCGGTGATTCATGCAAGGGCCATTCAGTCATTCAAAGGAGCTAAAAATACAGTTCTGACTTCTGAGCCTTTTGTGTTCCCTGCTAACATTCAAGAGACCTGGTCCCCAGTCTTTGTTCGTCACTCCTGCTCACAGCTCAAAGCCTTGCTGGCATCTCTTGTTTTGACTTTATGAGATCATCTTACACTATAGCCCAAGATGGCCTAGAACTCAATAGCTAACCCACACAGACCTCAAGCTCCCTGAAGTTCTGCCTCGGCCTCCCCGAGTTCTGGAATTGCAGGTGTGGGCAAAACACATTTGACATTTTTTCTTTTAAAGATTTTGTTGTTGTTTTTTTCCAAGACAAGGTTTCTCCGTGTAGCCTTGGCTGTCCTGGAACTCTGTAGACCAGGCTGGCCTTGAACTCAGAAATCTGACTGCCTTTTTCTCCCTATTGCTAGGTTAAAGGTGTACATTCCCACCACCCAGCTTTAAGATTTATTTTTATTTTGTGTGTTTCTGTGATTGTGTGCATTTGCTCGCAGTGTCCATGGAGGCCAAAAGTAGGCACCAGATTCCCTTGGAGTAGGTGCTGGAAACCTGGGAACTTCAGTCTTTTGGAAGAGCAACAGTTGTT